CGCCGCGTCCAGGGCCGCACCGAGGCGCACCTGGGACCCGGGCCCCTCCGCCGCCAATGCGCGCTGCGCGAACCCGCCTCGCGGGGGCCAGGGGCCGGCCCCTCTATATCAGCGCGTGCGGTATCCGGGGGCGGAGGCCCGGCCCGCGCCCTCCCCCGCCACCCAGCCTGGCTAGCGCCTTTACCCTCACCCTCTCGGCCCCCCATTCCCAGCCCGGGCGCCTCGGAATCCGGGCAGGTGCTGGGCGCCTGGGAGCCTCAAGCCACCCAGGAGGCGAGCCCCTGTTTGCTCATCCAGCTTAGTCGTGGCAAGGGCCACGCTGGGGGCGCTGGTCAAAGTTTTGCAGCGTGGAAGTGAGTAAGGGCGAACGTGGGGGTCCATGGCCAAGGCACGGGTTCAAGGCTAGAAACCAGGTTCGCGCCCTGGCCCTGCCATATTTCCTCACTGGAGAAGCAAATCTAGACACACACACACACACACACACACACACACACACACACACGTCACACACACACGTCCTCAGTTTGCTTATCTGCGAAGCGGTAATGATGACTGGACTTCCTTAAGGGTGGGCATGCGGGTGAACCCAAGAGGTGTAGGCAAAACGCACGCCTTAGCACTGCGGAAGCGACCAGTAGTACCCAGCTGGGCGACCTGGGGCAAACCCTTTCTCCGCTGTAGGCCTCAGTTTGCTTGGCCGGAAATGGGAATCCTCCGAGGTCTGGCGAGGACCTGAAGCCACCGAGGGCGCGGGAGCTAGGAGAACAGAGGGACCCCCTTCCCCCTTCCCGTTCTGAGACCTTCCCCGGGCTGGGGGAGGGGGTAGGGAGCGTCCGGCGTCCCCGGGACAAAGGGGTTGCCCGGGCCGGGCTACGCTGAGCAATTGCTCTGGGTGGGGAAAGGCTACCCGGTCACTCTCATTTTTCAGATGAAGAAAATTGAGACCAGAGAAAGGGGCCTGCTCTCGTCTTGCCCCCGCCCCCCTCCGCGGAGAAGAGTATTGAGATCAGCAAGGCCAAAAAGCCGCGATCTTCAAGCCGGGGGTGGAAAAACCACAGTTTGGCACCCGCAGCGACGCAACCGACCGATCTGAAGGCTCTGGCCCTTGGCCTCGGCCAACTTCGTCTGGGCCCCCGACCAGAGCCTCCCCCGACCCGAGCCTCCCCCGCCACCCGGCTTGGGTTGGAGTTGGCACCTTGGTCCTGCGAGCCGAGGCTGGAGACCCCGCGCAGACCATTCCTCCTATCTTTCACCCCGCGGAAGAAAGGGCAGAATAGGCAGCCGACTTGCTGTGCAAGCTCAGCCGGGTCACTTTGCTTCTCTGAGCCTCAGTTTCTCCGCATGTAAAATGGAAAAGTTCGGCCCTGCAGAAGGGGTTCTGCAGTTTCCGTGAGATGCCGTGGACGAATCTTGGTGAGAAAGGGGAGAGAGCCGAACCTGAGCTTAGCTGCAGACTCCCCACATGGGACCCCTGAGAAACACTAGCGTCTGCGGAGCTGGAGGTGAGGAGCTGGCGCCTCTGAACAGCTCTCCGGCGGGGAGGGGCCCTCAGAAAGTGGAAAACAGGACGGGTACCACCTCTGTAGGGGAGCGAAGGGGATTGAGGGGGGGGCTGGAGTCTCCTGGACATTGCTGAGGAAAACTCAGGCAAAGTAAGCACTAGTCTCAGCTGCGGACCCAGGTGGTCTAGGGGGCTGGGCCCAGAGCCCGTTCTCCCCTTCTCTCTCCACCTCTAGCTCCTTTTTCTCCAGAGGCTACACTACTAGGCTGGGAGCCCTGAGGTTGACCCAGGCTCCATTGCACCCACCCTCACCCACGTACCCAGGGAAGGAAACATCGATCTGGACCAGCCACGGAACGAGAACTGACAGACGGACATTGAAGACAGACACACAAATCCATACAAATCCACGGAGACAACACAGAACCACAAGCAGGAAGACCCAGAGACCCAAAGACAGACCCAGGGACCATGGACACATTCACGGACTGCTAGGCTTGGGCCAACACAGCCCTATGAACGCTTGGCCACTAGTAGACAGAGGGACACCGCAGACCCCCATGGGGCCTGTCCCCATAGGCCTAGCTCCTCCCATCAGCTGCCCAGGAAAGAAGAGGGGGTAGCATGATGGGAGGGCAGGTCCGGGGCAATCTCTGGCCCCTTCCCTGCCCAGAGCAGTGGGCATCAGTCACTCAGCCGAGCAGGCAGTGGCCGGCGCAGGCCGCAGGGAGGCACTGAGGCGGGAGGCTGGCCATTAGAGGCCTGGGCCCAGGCCCTCACTTACGGAGCGGAAGGAGAGCTCTCACGCCGGATGAGGGTGGACAGTGGGCACCAGGGGTCCGAGGGAAGGCTCCGGCAGCCCAGGTGGGGCAGTGGTGACCGTGGGCACACAGGAACTCCTTCACGCCACGGCGGGCGGCAGGCGGACAGTAGGCTGGCCCTGTCCGTCCGTCCTCCTCCTCCCCGCCCTGGGGGGGGGGGCCACCGGAGGCCCAATTGGTCTCTGCCCCCACGTGACTCTGCAGGCCTCTCTCCTTCTTTGTTGGTGTTTCTCTTCATTTAGGCCTATTTTTTTCTTCTCCTAAAAGAAAAAAAAATACCCCTATCTATCTGGGGGCCGCGGTGGGGGTGGAGGCCAAGGCACTCTGGAGGCCTTGGCCAGCTGGATGTTCCAGGCCGCTGTGGGAGCCCAGAGGCAGGGACCCCATGTAGGCGGTTAGGCAGCCCCGCTTGTTAGTGACTGGGTGGGAGTGGGGCCTGATTTATGGGCGGCTCCCCCACCAGGCCTGCAGCCTGGCCTCTCTCCCCTTGGATGGCTACCTCCCTGGGGCCTGGCCCGGCGGGGTCCGGCCTGGCCCAGACTTGGGAGTGGAGTCAGGTTGGGCTGGAGCAGAGGCAGGGGCATGGATGACTTGACCAGGTGGCTCTGCTGCTTTGGCTTGATCTTTTTACTCTTCCAGAAGGTGAAGAGAGGAAGAAGGGAATGGAAGGCAAGCAGGTGAGCTGACTGAACACCTCCCGTGTGCGTTCCTCGTTGTCTGCTCTGAATGTCACCATCTGCTGGGGGCAGCTGATACTCCCAGTGGATAGCTGGGAAAGTTGAGGCTGGTCTGAGGCTGCCTCCAGGGCCAGGTGGTTGCCTATAGTGGCCGCAGGTTGGGCCAGGTGGGTAGCTAGGCCAGGATAGGGCAGGGCAGAGGGCAGGGGGTTTTGTCTAGAAGGCCGGGCCTCCCCACACAGCCAGGGATGTCCCTGTCCAACCTCCAGGCCCAGACTGGTCCTGAACTGTCCTGGTTCCATAGGGGCCCAGTTGTTCTGTTTTGCACCCCTCTGCTGCATGACACCCTCTTTTGTGCATTCCTTCATTCATCTCTATTTCCTGAGTGCACACTAGATGCCAGGCACTGGTCTGGGCACTGGGGAAAAGGGAAGAAAAAGGAAGAAGTTTCTGTCCTTCTATATAGGCATTGGTCCTGGGGGTTGGGGAGGGACACAGGGGGCCATGGGGCAATCACTGTTGAGAACCCTCACCACACTCCTTCATTTGAGGAACAGGCCCATCATACAACGTCTCACTTATCTGGCTTGGGAGGAGAGGGATTTTCTGGATAACTGAAGTCGACTATATTTAAAACCTAGAGTGTCTTCCTCATTGTGCCACTTAACACATTAAAAAAAAAAGATTTCTTTATTTTAGAGAGAGTTTAGAGAGAGAGAGAGTGCAGGGGGAGGGGCAGAGGGAGAGGAAGAGAAGCAGACTCCCTGCTGAGCATGGAGCCCCTTGCCAGGCTCCGTCTCACGACCCTGAGATCATGACCTGAGCCGAAATCAAGAGTTGGTCGCTCAACTGACTGAGCCACCCAGGCGTCCCCAACACATTTTTTTATTGTGAATACATACGAGACAAAAATCTCATTGACAGTCATAAGTAACTGATTCTATGGATTAAATATACAGTAGTGGCCCCTTATCCGTGGTTTTGCTTTCCACTCTTTCAGTTACCTGTGATCATCCGGGGTCAGGGAGTAGATGATCTTCTTTGTGACGTGTTCTTAGAAGGTCAGCACGAAGCAGCCTCACGCTACGTCACAGCGCCTCCACCGTTCGGCCCACCTCCCATCACATAGGCATTTTATCATCTCACAAGAAGGGTGAGTACGGCACACGATATTTTGAGAGAAACCACAGGCGCATATCTTTTATTATACAACATAATATCTTGTTATTTATACAACAAAGTATGTTGTTATACCTGTCCTGTTTTATTATTAGTTATTGTTACTGTGCCTAACTTATAAATTAAACTTTATCATAGGGATGTATGTATAGGAAAAAGCATAGTGTATATACAGTTCAGTACTATCCATGGTTTCAGGCACCGGGGGTGGGGGGGAGGGTCTTGGAACACATCCTCTGCCAATAAGGGGGACTACTATATTCTAATTCTAATTTCTACGTATGACATAACATATAACTTATTTCCCAACATGCATGACCTCATAATTATGTCTTTTTCACCCACTGGAATACAAGATGTATTTCTCTTGCATCTGACTGAAGCTAACTAATCTCCCCCATTTCAATGCAATGATTTTGTTCCTGGATTAATACCATTCATCCTCTGAATTTAAAAAAGAAATATCTCGGCAAGCACCTTTACCTCACCGACATGTCACATACACGTAATGACAACAGTCACAGTCCTTTGCACCTCCTTTGATGGGAGACTGTGAAATGGGGTCTACTCTCACTGCCTTCTTAAACAGGGTCTTTCAACACTGTGGCGCCATGGAAAGAGCTAGATTGACCTGGTCAGTCTCCTGGTGAGGCTCCGAGTCCTGAGAAGGAGAAATGTGAGGGATTAGTGGTGGAGACTCTGGCTTAAATCCCAGTTCTGCCATTTCCCAGCTGTGTGACCTGGGACCGGTCACTTCTCTCTCTGGGCCTCCCGTCCTCTCCATGAAATGGGGACAAGATGAGACAATGCATGCACCACACTCAGTGGCTGCCAGGTCTGTCATGTGTACGCAATGTTAGCAAAACACAAACACCAAGCCGCGGGCCTGGCGGGTCTGCCCTCGGGGGCCCTTTCGGTCTGGAGTGTGAGATTGCACCATCAGCCTGAGCACTGTTAGCCCTTCTGTGATAGAGTGACTCACCGCAGCCTGGGGAACCCTCAAGGAAGGGCTCAGGGCTGACTGATCTCTGGGTCCACAGGGGCCAGCCCAGAGTAAGCGTCAGTGAGCATCTGCTGAATGCCCACTTGCCTCTGCACCAAAGGCCCCACATGCTGCCTGTGGGGGTGGAATTCCGCCGCCCGGCCCTCCTGTCCTGTTGCCTTTTCTGTAGGCGGTCGGCAGACACTTTCCACCGCTCAGGCTGGGCACTGCTCCCCTCTGATCGCCCTGGATATGTTTATGGGCACCCCCTTCCTCTGCGCTGCCCCTCCTCGGCCCTCACCCCTACTGGGTGAGGCAGGCAGGGAATGGCGAGGCCCTAACACAGAGGTGCCTAAGCGCCAGGTCCCCTGCTATTCCACACCTGTGGTCAGCCTCCACCATTCTGGGAGGTCCCCTCGTCTTCCATGAGCAGCATTTGAGAGATGAAGAAACTCGGGTTCAGGGAGACGAGGTATCTTCGCAAAGTCACAAAGCAAGGAAGGGTGTGATGGAACTAGGATTTAAATCCAGGCAGTGGGCTTGCAGAGTCAGCGTCCTCTCCCCTCTGCCAGAGCCCCTGGGTGGCCCATTTATCTTTTCCTTCAAGCTCCAGCCCAGGTGGTCCCAGGCCATGAGACCCACCCGGAGGGGAAGGAGAAGGGGTGACCCAGGCTCCCCACCCCCCCAAGCAAACAAAGCCCAGGGTCTCTCTTCTAAGTGGGGACTTTCCCAAAGTGCCAGGCCTATTTCCTGGTGATGGAACAAGGAACAAACAAACTAGAGACCTAGAAACTGAAATGGAGAGGAGAAAGAGAGAGAATCAGGCTGGGGTTGGGGCACAGTGTAGAAAGACAAAGAAAGAACCCACAGAGAGATGAGGCAGAAAATGAGAGAAGAGAGACCCACTGACAGCAGCATACCAGACCCAGACATGGTCGGAGCGGGGGAGCAGAGAGGAAGGGAGAGAGGTTGGGGGGGGAGACAGGGAGAGAGAGAGCGTGGGACAGAGGAAGGAGAGAGAGGGAGAGGCAGAAAGAATGAGAGCCATTTAGAATGCGAGAAAGGAGAAATGGGGGAGAGGGAGACTGAGGCAGAGAGTGAGAAAAGAGAGCAGGGCAGGGCCGGGAGCAGGAGGCAGAGGGGCTGTGGACGTGGAGACCCCGGCAGGGCCGTGGAGGGGGCGGGGCTGTTGGCAGCAGTGGAGGCTGTTTCCGCTGCACCCCTTATCAGCCTGCTGCCAGATGTTCAGATCCGATGCCAATGTCAGAGAAGTCCATAGTGCCAGGTCAAGGCCGTGGCCAGCGGGAGCCTCAGCTGCAGGCTGGGGAGGGGAGCTGGGGGACGGCAGTAGACCTGCCTGCTCTTCTCCCTGTGCCTCCTGGTTCTCTGGACTGGCCCACATGGGGGGGGGCGGGGGACACCAGGTGCCCGTGGGGGCTACTTCTCTGGGCGGAGAGCAGGGACTTGTGGAGGCAGAGTGGGGCTCCCGGCAGCACGTGGACACATACATGTGCGCAAGCCCCCACGTGTGTGGAAGCACGTGGACACAGGCCCGCAGACCCGCATGGGTGCACATGAGGGGACCACTCACGGGCGGGTGCGCAGCTCTCCTCGGCTGGAGCCCCCCTGCTCTGCCTGGTCACCCCCTCACCTGAGCCAGGGCTGCAGCTGGAGCTGGAGAAGTAAGGCTCTGTGGCTGGCAGGGGTCCCAGGGCCCACCCTGCTCTTCTACAAAGGGGACACTCACGGAATCTGCACGCCCCTAAGGGCTGGACTGAGGGACCTGGGACCTTCTAGAATCCGATGCCTGGTGAAGATCCTCGGGAGGAGACGCAGGAGCTGGGTGTCTGGCAGGGCTGGGGCTTCAGCCTTGGGCCTGGGCCTCTCCGCCATGCTCCTGGAGCGTGCAGCCGCAGCTGGGGCCCCCTGCCTGGGATAGTTTATCTCTCAGCACACACGCTTGGCCCTCAAGGGGTGACCCAGCCTTGCTCCCCACATTCCTCTCCAGCCACGCAGCCAGTGGGCCCCCCACAGCCCTGAGACATGGCCTGTACTTGGGGGGTGGTCAGGAGCAACCACTCAGAGCCATCTCGCTGACCTCTTGGCCCCGGCCCTTCGCAGCTGTCTCTTTGTTTTTCTCTGCTTTCGTCTCTGAGCATCTCTCTGATGTTGTCTCTGCCATGATTAATCTGTGTCTACCACTATTTTTGCCTCAGTCTTTCTCTGGGAAAGTCCCAGTTTGTTTCTCTCTGTTTCAGTCCTTAGTCTGTCTCTCTCTCGGGTCCTTGAGCGGGGCCAAAT